GATCTATGTTCGGAGCGCTATGCACGTCAATGTAGATCTACGTTTGGACAGTTTAAGGGTTAATTAAAATTACTGCTTGGGCAAAATATACAATAATCAGAATGCCCATAGAATGCACAGCACTGTGAGATTTAATGGGATTTAATGTAGCCAGTGACCCTACATGCCTAATTCCCATAGTTTCCACCAGAGGCCAGGCCTCTCGGTGGGCATGCCTGCCTGCCCACCCCTGCCTCTACCTCACTCTATCAGCAGCCTTCATCAGACAACAGGCCTTACTCCTCTCTCCCTCGTGGGCAGGGCCCCCCCGGGTCATGGGCATTTAAAACACACTCCCTGTGTACCCCACGACAACGCAAAAAAAGTAAGAAGCCTCCAAAAGCCTTTATTATTACTCCCGCTACCAAGAATGACCCAATAACCCCGGGTAAACATTGGTGGAAGCAGTGGTCGCAGCAAGTGGGTTTGCCCAGAGAGAGGAAGGAAGATGATGACTTTCATCTTCACTTCATCACCCAACACAAGGAGCATCCGTCTCTCAGTGAGTTACCCTGATGTCGTGTCGGGCACATTTCAGCATCCAGACGCAGGTACAAAGCAGGATTTGGCCCCGCCACAGCAACCCAGCTTTTTCTCAAGTCACGTGTTCAGCGTCACTTGTATGTTGCTGCTGTTGTTTTTCAGCTCTGCATGGCTATTTCAGCAAGTCAGAGGTGAATTTGTGGTGATTTCAGCATCCAGTGTGGGGTTTCTCCAAGTGGGTATGTGGGAGAGGAAGCGGTCAGGCTCCTTGCCTCACCCACGCTCGCCTACTGTATACCACCAACACCAAACCCTGCACTCACTCCCCCTTGCTTGTTTTCTGCTGTTTTCCGCATGAATTCATGCCAGAGCTGTGGGATCCGAGTGCCTGAGGCCACTCGAAAACCACGTGGATCACTAAGCCATGTGTGGACAATGCCATGTGGATCTACAAGCCACGTGGATTACCTAGTCAAGGGTGTCCAGCCAAATGCTGTAGTCTGGTGCGCATTTATTGTGATGTCACTCGCCCCCGTCACCACGATGCTGACGACTTCATGGTCACCAGATTTCTCCGACTTCACGATGTACGTGTTTTGCTGATGTACCCATGACATCCCTCATGAGTCACTTGAGACATCTTGCTGACGTCACATACTGCTGATGTCACTCGTGACGTCACGCCTGACATCACATGATGTCACATCGAGTGTTCTAGTAATTATTTCAGTATTGTCGAGAAAATTGAGAGAAAATATATGTCATGTGTTAATTAATTCCTCTCGGTCAGTGTTCTCACATGTTCGTGTATAGCTTAGTGTCAATATTTGCACAGAAGCACATTTTCTAGTAAGCCATGTAGTGCCGCATGTGCAGTGCAGGTGTTTTGGGAGTTTTCCGTGTTTCCCGTGTGGTCTTGATCCCAGGGCCCCCTGTGTAGCACCCTCGTGTTACTTGTCATCCAGTGTGACCCACGCGTTTGACAGCTGATATTAGTCAGCCCGTGCGTCTGAGCCTCTTGTACAGTAAGCTCTTATTGTTCGCTGCTCGTGATGCCCTGCAGAATTGTACCTGCTACGATTCCCCTTGAGATTTGTTTCCCTTTCACCTCCAGACCGTCAGAGTGCAGTTATATTGTAGAGAAACAAGTCTGGGGATGCTTGACCAACCTTTTGCTATAAAATCCAACTGCCGAGAGAATGACACTTGTCAAGCCGCAGATAGCCCTGTCGGCAGGCGCTGTGTCAGCCTCGTGTCATAGCTTCAGTGAGCAGCCTGCACAAAGATGATGTCACTTTGACTTCTAGCCCGCTCACTCCAGTACAGTGTATGATGTTACGACTCCCAGATGTTTCGTTGAGTCGTCTCTGCCATGACTCCATGCTCGCTGGCAGTGACAGCCCCAGCGACAGTACCAGTCGAGAAATGTCCTCCTGAGTCGCTTGCCAGAAGAAGTCCTGCCCAGTTGCCAAGTATTGACGATGCCTCACTCAAGGGCACCAGCAGGTTATGCCCCAGGTTGAGTGAACCTGCAGCGACTCTTACAATGACTGCTTCACTGTTCCAGAGGAAACCGTACCCTGTTACATCACAGCTCAGCTGCGATGTCTCCTATATTGCAGTATCTGTCCAGACGCAGGAAGGCATGCAGTGATGCCCCTCGACGCTCACTACCTATGACCACAATGTTTAACACACCCCACCTATTTTTTTTCTTCCCTCCCTATAGGAATTTTTTATTTTCCATGTCCATGTATGCATATATATATGTTTTTATTTTGTGTTCTATGCTCTGTTCCTGCGAGAGAGAGACCGAGTTTTTTTTACCGCCAGTCATGGTCAGGGACGACCATGTGGTATGTGGCTGAGCGAAATGTGCCAGTGAGCCTACACGTGAGCCTAGTTTCCACCAGAGGCCAGGCTTCTCGGTGGGCATGCCTGTCTGCCCACCCCTGCCTCTACCTCACTCTCTCAGCGGCCTTCACTCAGACAACAGGCCTTATTCCTCTCTCCATCGCAGGCATGGGCATTTAACACACTGCCTGTTCCCCACGACATTGCAAATAAAGTAAGAAGCCTCCGAAGCCTTTATCATTACTCCCCGCTACCAAGGATGACCCAATAATCCCGTAAACTTTAACGGACTCTTAAATCTGGAACTATTCATAAAAATGATAAACAATTCTGATTTAATAGACAGAGTTTGTTAACCCTTTGACTGTTTTCGACGTATAAATATGTCTTACGAGCCAATGTTTCTGACGTATATATACTCAATAATTCTAGCGGATTTCTTCTTCTTATTCTTTTTAGTAATCTTTACAGGAAAAGGGGTTACTAGCCCATTGTTCCCGGCATTTTAGTTGACTTTTACAACACGCATGGCTTACGGAGGAAAGATTCTTATTCCACTTCCCCATGGATATAAAAGGAAAATTAATAAGACCAAGAACTATTAAGATAAAAATCAAAGAAAACTCAGATGAGTGTGTATAAATAAATGTGTACATGTATGTATAGTGTGACCTAAGTGTAAGTAGAAGTAGCAAGACATGCCTGTAATCTTGCATATTTATGAGACAGACAAAAGACACCAGCAATCCTACCATCATGTAAAACAATCACAGGCTTTCGTTTTACACTCACTTGGCAGGACGGTAGTACCTCCCTGGGTGGTTGCTGTCTACCAACCTACTACCTACAATGCCTGCACTTTAAAGGAGGGGTTTTGGGATATTGGCAGTTTGGAGGGATATGTTGTGTATCTTCATATGTGTATGCTTCTAGACTGTTGTATTCTGAGCACCTCTGCAAAAACAGTGATAATGTGCGAGTGTGGTGAAAGTGTTGAATGATGATGAAAGTATTTTCTTTTTGGGGATTTTCTTTCTTTTTTGGGTCACCCTGCCTCGGTGGGAGACGGCCGACTTGTTGAAAAAAAAAAAAAAAAAAAAAAAAAAAAATTCTAGCGGCTTCAAATCAAGCGGGAGAAAGCTGGTAGGCCCACATGTGAGAGAATGGGTCTGTGTGGTCAGTGTGCACCACATAAAAAAAATCCTGCAGCACACATTGCGTAATGAGAAAAAAAAAACTCTGATCGTTTTTTTGGAATAAAACGCCGACTTTGAGGTGTATTTTCATATAGTATTTATCGTTGTATTCGCGTTTTCATGGTCTTAGGTGATAAAATGGAAAACATTTACAGAAATAGAGATGATTTTCATTACTTTGAGAATGAAAACGACCTTGAAACTGAGCTCAAAGTAGCGGAAATGTTCGATTTTTACCAATGTTCAGGAGTAAATAAATCACACCACACGTCCAATACACGTCAACTGGGGAGTCTAATATTCTTTCACTAGTGCACTGATATTATTTATACCATTTTTACAATAATGCAGTAGTCTGCATAACAGTAAATTTTGTATTTTTTTGTATGAATAAAAAATCAAAATAGAAAGCAATAATAATATTAAGAGGGGGCCTAGAGATGTGACTAATGAACAGAGCATATGTTATTTTAGTGCCACGAATGTCTACCTTGTTTATTCTGGACCCTATTTTGAAATTGGCATCTTTTTTAGTTTGCGTGAAATTGGCCAAATTGCCAATTTCTGACCACCATATTGGGTAGTCCAAATTAGTAAATGGGAGGTTTCTTGTACTCAGCTGATAGATAAAATGGAGTTCTAAAGAAATAGCTATGAGTTTGGTCAACTGGAACAATGGAATTGGCTGAAAATAGGGCTCAAAGTCGGCGAAATCGCCGATACGCATATGTCGCCGAGACCGCTAACCTCGCCGGAGCATAATTCCACGAGTTTTCGACCAAATTTCGAACTTTTGGTGTCATTACCATCGGGAAAAGATTCTCTATCATTTAATAAGAAAAAATAATTTTTTTTTTTCAAAAATTGAGCGACATAGAATGACAGTTTCAGAGAGGAGCCTGAAACAGTCAAAGGGTTAAGTAAGTTTATTCAGGTACGTATACACAAATACACAGATTATCATACATAGCAGAATACAGTGGACCCCCGCATAACGATCACCTCCCAATGCGACCAATTATGTAAGTGTATTTATGTAAGTGCGTTTGTACGTGTATGTTTGGGGGTCTGAAATGGACTAATCTACTTCACAATATTCCTTATGGGAACAAATTCGGTCAGTACTGGCACCTGAACATACTTCTGGAATGAAAAAATATCGTTAACCGGGGGTCCACTGTATATGTAAAGAACCTAGGATAACCCAAAAAGTCAGAAATTAATTTACCTAGCAAATAAGAGAATTTGTGAATTAACAGACTTTGTTTATTATTGAAGGGAATTTCAGGGGTCAATGCCCCTGCTGTCCAGTCCATGACCAGGCCTCAAATGCTTCTGAATGTCTGGCCATACATTTTCTCTATTAAATCCAGGCCCGTTGAGGCCCTTTAAATTAAGGTTTTACTGCATACAGCAAATTAAACTAACCTGAATTGCCTGAATTTGGCAAGCTTAACATAGGGGTCATTCAGCTGTCTAGTCAACCAATCTGAGGCGCTTGTCTTTCGACCTTTTAAGTTTTTCGGAACAATCTTATTTGCGACTGACGAAGTGCTAAAATAGGATGTCTGTAAAATGCTCCAGAAACTTGAGCTCATCATCGTGTTGAATGGAATTTGCATTGACATTAGTGTCACCTGAAAATAAAAAAAACCATGAAATGTTATTTTACATGGTTTAGTGATAATTGAAACTGTTTACATCCTGTCTGTTTCTAATAAGGTAAACTAAAAATAAGAAGACAGGAAGAAAAAGGATGAAGAAGGAGGAAAAAGAAAGAAGAAAAAAGAAAGAGGAAAAATAAAAAATAAATAAGGAAAAAGATGAAGAAATACAAGGAAGGAAAATAATGAAGAAAAAGAAGGCGAAGAAAATAAGAAAAAAAAGAAAAACGAAGAGATAAAAGGAAGCTGCACAAATAACCCGCACACACGAGACTGGAACCTATCACAATGTTTTGCTCTAACCTAGGCCATTAACCGTTAAACGGTCCAAACGTATATATACGTTTCAACATCTGAATGTAAAAAAAAAAAAAAAAAACATTTATCTACATTTTTTTTTTATTGCTGTATAGCCCTTGTGGCTTAGCGCTTTTTTATTATAATAATAATAATAATAATAATAATACATTTTTTATTTGTTATATTTGAAAATATGTAAAAAAAAGTAGATCTACTTTTGTAGCACTACGAATTTGAACGTCAATCTCTTTGGACCGTTTAAGGGTTAACTAGTCGCCTATTATGACCCTTGCGAATTATTATTAGTATTACATTGATAGACACATTAAACCTGTTAAGTGCCATACAGTGCTTAGGGTATAAGATAATAAACATAATAAGCAAGTTTATTCAGGTCTACGTACACATAAATACAGTTACGTAAATTATCATACACAGCAGCATAGGTGTAGATTACCCAGGATAATCCCAAATTATTATAATCATGGGGGAGTGCTAAACCCGTAGGATTATACAGCACATGTGCAAGGGGGGGGGGATTGAAAGGTATTTAGGCTTAATTCAAGGAATGAGCACAGATCCAATTCCCTAGATCAAGAGCCCCTCACCAGCATCAAGGAACCTCCATTGAGGGGGGATAACCCCCCAAAAAATAAAAATCAGAGAGACTTATTTCCACTGGTGTCCTTGAGGTACGAAATAATGGGGTAATAATAAATTTGATCCGAGGAAAGAGGATAGCTCTAGTTCCTTGGATTTAGAGCCTTCAACAGCATCAAAGCACCATTCTTAAAGGACAATAAAAAAGGAAATATAGACAAAAAAAAAAAAACGAACAAATCTGAAAGACAATGAAATAATTTTCAATGGTGACGAAGAAGATTACTGAGAAGATTACTGTGTGGATGGACTTTTGAGAGAACAACGGCCTACAAAAGGTTAATGTTACAGATAATACAGCCGAGTTAGCACAAAAGTGTTGAATATAAAGTAACACAAGTGAACCAGCATTATCTAGACTGTGTGAAGGGTCTGAAGTCTCCAGTTGTTTGGAATAGAATACAACAAAATCACTTCAGTCACTTCTCGTACTATCAGAAGAAAGTTTTAAGTGCATATCTTCAGAAGAATTCGGAAGAAAAAAGGATAACCAAGCTATAACTATGTATAAAATATACGTATTCGGCCTGGTGTGGACATTCTTAATCGTGTGACGAATTTAAAGTGTCATGTATGTAAAGATCAAACTGGGACCACAGGAAATTGTGATGCCACTGTTGAATCTTGTGGTACTGATGAAGTTTACTGTCTTCGGGGAAAAAAATGGAAAAGCACATCTTCGTCAGTTGGTCCACCACGGCAACTTTCTGAACATATGCACTGTGCTACAGAAGAAGAATGTAGTGGAAGCGTCAGTGACATGGAAACATGTCCCACACCTCCATGGAAAGACTGGAATTGCACAGCTTGCTGTAAGAGTGATTGCTGCAATGGTATCATGGCTTGTAGCCATGGCACAGTGTTCCAAAACCTGAAGCTGATGTTAATACTGGTAGCTGGGATGCTGACAGCTCTGCAGCCTTATCTTCTTGGGTCACTGAGGATCACATAGCTAGTTTTGGCCACATATGTGATAAGATCTAGCCACATACTAGTCACAAACAGGAGACTAAATAATTGCTGGATAATTTAACACTAATCTCATCCATTCAAAAACTCACAAGATGCCAGTTTTCAGAAATCAAAATTATAATTATTGAGTCAGCTGCTACTAGACCACATCTGAACCAGTACAATAGATCCTCAAAAAAAAAAAAAAAAAAAAAAAAAAAAACATTGTCACTGACAGGAGGCCTGGTCACAGACCGGGCCGCGGGGGCGTTGACCCCCGGAACTCTCTCCAGGTAAACTCCAGGTATACACATTTATATACATTATTATACATTATACACATTTCCACGGCTCCTCCACCATGTACTGGCGGTCAAAACCCTGTGATGAAATTTTAATTATCTTATTTTATAATATAGTCAGTTTATATTATGCAAAAATCGAGAACGAGAGATACAAAATGCAACACAATCACTGAGGTGTTGAGTGATAGCTCCAGGCCTTTGATGTTGCAATCAACACATCATCAGGAAGGCCTAGAGCTATTACTCAACTCCCTCCCGTGGTTGTGTTGCATATAAAGTCAAAATTTGTACCAGTATATATGGAAAACAAACGAGAAGACTTCAGTTGTTGTTGTTGGGTTGAAGAGCTGCGACGGCCCGAGGGCCGAGTGAACCCTCAAGCCGGAGTCTCGGATCCACTAGCGGACACACATTAAATAAGAAAGATTATTTAGGTACAGGTACAAATAAATACCGTTAAACAAATCACCATACATAATATGTGCAAATTACCTAGGATAACCCATATACGTCAAACAAGGTGACTTATTTCCTCTAGGGTCCTTGGATGTGGAAATGCTGGAGAACTTGTCTAGATATTGTAAAAAATATATTCTTTTTGTGCAGGATTTTAGCGTAGAGGTAATCTAGGTGTTATAAGGTTGGAGATGCAATAGCTGGGTTTGCGCAGTAATGTTTCTGAGGTTGAGAACAGCATCTGTCCACAATGACAAGGTACGCGACGGATTCCGTACCCGAGAGGTTAGTGTTTTGTTTTGGGTAACGCTACTCTTGTGATCCATTGTAATCTTTGACATCCCGTCACAGGATGAATGTGAGGTACACAATAGCATGCCGATCAGGCGGCACAACTAAACTCCTATGACCAATCACTGCCTTAATGATAATATATTTCTGACCTAGATACTTGACACACCATTGCTGACCAAAGTCTTGGCTGGTCCAGCAAAAACGTATTACTGCCTTCTCAAATTACCATTTTCTAATTATATATAATCTTGCAAATATCTCTTTAATGCAACGACCCTTATCCTATGATTGCAAGACTGCAACGTCTTTATGTAGTAGAAATTCCTGCAACCTTGGACACATTACATTTTTCTGCGACTCTGATCTATGTAACGTTTGACAAGGTTAGAGAAAGATCTATGTTCTTCTAACATAGCTAGGCACTTAAAGAAACAGGAAAATTCACGAATTAACAAGACTGATAACTGAATTGAGGGTTAAAAAAATGGACCTAACAACACTAGAAGAGACAGAGACAACATGCAGGAGATGTAAGGGATGAGAGAGAGAGAGAGAGAGAGAGAGGAGAGAGAAGGAGAGGAGAGAGAGGGAGAGAGAGAGTGAGAGAGAGAGAGAGAGAGAGAAGAGAGATGAGAGAGAGAGAGAGAGAGAGAGAGAGAGAGAGAGAGAGAGAGCCAGCCAAGGGTCATCAATGACATGCAAAGATGGATGTTAGAGAGGGCTTTTACAGTCTCAGGATGCTAAGTAAATGTAATGCACCAGCTGAAGGGGTGGCGGAGGCAAACTCTATACACAGCTTCAAGAGTAGATATGATCGAGCCTTAAAGGAATGGAATCAGTGAAACCGACCGATAAGAGTTGAGAGGAGGGGGCCAGGAGCTGTGATCGACGCATCAAGACAGAGGGACTGATCACCTCAAAATTACCTCTCCACTGCTACTGTTTCTAGTGTTCTAATCGCCTGCAGTTGACTGAAGAAACCTACTGCGCGGGCGAAATGTCAACAACTGTGTGAGTACACGGAGGAGGAATGGTTAGAAACAGACGAAAGTGGTGGTCAAGCTGGAGGTGTAACCAGAAACAGACAAAAGGGTGGCCAAAAACAGACAAAAGGGGTGGTCAAGCTGGAAGCGTGGCCAGAAACAGACAAAAGAGTGGCCAGAAACAGACCAAAGGGTGGCCAGAAACAGACAAACGAGTAGCCAGAAACAGACAATAAGTTGGCCAGAAACAGAGAAGCAGTGGCCAGAAAGAAACAAGAGTGCGTGGCCAGGCCGGAGCTGGAGCCAGAAAGGGACACAAGTATGTTCCAAGCTGGCGACCAATGGCAGGAAATCAATGCATCATGGGCCAGACACTTGCCACCGTCCGTCACAAACAACTCAGCAATGTTTTCTCCCTAAAAACAAAACAACACTGACAAATGTCTCTCCCACGGAAATGATTCTCTTATTTACAACGTTCCAAAAATCTTTTGATAGAAGATTGACTGAGTATCCATGAGTTACGTTAGATCAAGATTCTTTTCTTTTGTGTTTTCGTGTGAGCGATGGAGGTTTGTTCGTCAGGAAAGAGGACAAAGGTGTCCTGATACGGGGTTTTGTTCGTCAGGAAAGAGGACAAGGTTGTCCTGATACGGGGTTTGTTCGTCAGGAAAGAGGACAAGGGTGTCCTGATACGGGATTTGCTCGTCAGGAAAGAGGAGAAGGATATCCTTCCTGACACGGAATTTGTTTCTCAGGAAACAGGACAAGGGCTTCCTACCACGGGTCTTGTTCGTCAGAAAACAGGACAAACTCGCACATCTTCCTCAGGGAACACACAGAGGCAGACAGGCAGCTTGTTTGCTGTCTGACAGCTGAGCCCTGCTTATTAATGCAGCGTTGCAAGCCACTTTCCCTATCTGTACGCTTTAGGGACTAATTTTATGCAGTTTTGCAAGCAGCAGGACGGAGAATATGACTGAAGTTACGTTGTATAATGAATGAAGAGTGAATGGGTAACTCAGATAAATAAAACTTTAGTGTAGTCTGTTTCTACTGACCTCAAGTTTCTACCGAGAACTTACAGGAAATGGGGAAAACAAGGGTAAATGAGGGAGGTGCACGAAGTAAACAAGAGAGGAGAGACAAAGGCAGGGAGGGGAGACGTAACCATCTGTGTTTATATGATGATGATGATGATGATGATGATGATGATGATGATGATGATGATGATGATGATGATGATGATGATGATGATGATGATGATGATGATGATGATGATGATGATGATGATGATGATGATGATGATTCAGCCTTATTGTTGTATGGGGCATACACAGCCTGGATAAATGGGAGATAATCAGGTTTGATCCAGGAGAAAGGAGGGGTAGCTGCAGTTCTTAAAGATCGAAAGGATTAAGAACTCTTCACCAGCATCAGGGACACCTACCTTGACAGGGCAGGAGTAGGAGAGACGAGTAATAATACTACTACTACTACTACTACTACTACTACTACTACTACTACTACTACTACTACTACTACTACTAATAATAATAATAATATATAATAATAATAATAATAACAATAATAATAATTTTTTTTATTCTACAAGTACATGATACAACTATACAGACCATAGCTGACATCAGTGACATTCTTCTTTATAGAAAGCCCCTGGTTTATACAAAGCATATCGTGCAAATTGGGTCAAGTTTGTTCCCATAATGCGACCCACGCCAGTCGACTAACACTCAGGTACCTATTTTACTGCTAGGTGAACATGGACAGCAGGTGTCTTAAGGAAACAACATTCTAATATTCCTACCCGTACCGGGGATCGAACCACGGACCTGTGTGTGAGTGAGCCGAGTGCTCTACCAACCCAAAACACGTCACAGTGACTTTATTTCCATTGGTGTGACAAGATTTACGATTTTTTATCCCCCACAGAATGTTTTTTTCCAAATTTTGGCGATCTATGAGTTAAAAACTTATTAATTTTAGCCACAAAACATCGCCATGTCTACATAGTAATTTTTTTTTTATCGTTAACTTAGAAAAGTGGCAGTGTCCGAGGCTTGGGCGGCAGGAGGGCGGCACAGTGCCAAAGTATTTCCGTCCTGGGAGGTGGCACCCTCCCTTGCTGGTGCCCAGTGATAGGCGTGGCATCTGGGGCACCCAAACTGCCAGTCTTGTGCCCTGTCAAGCAGTGAACAGTCAGACTCACAGCATATCACTGATCATTTCACCCCTAAGCAAAGCGATATTCAGTGCCTTGTTTTTTTTAATACTTGTAAACTGAAATTTTCCCGTGTAAATAGTGATGATGCAGTGCCTTGTGAATGCGTTGTAGTGAATCGGGTTGTGAGTGCCATCAGGTGTCGTACAGAGTGGATTAATGCTAGCCCAAACAGAGAGGCGACTTCTGCCACACGTAGATCAAGGTAACAACATCTTTCAGTGTACTGAGGGTGGTAAGTAAGTAATTAAGACAGTAAGTAAGTAAGTGAGTAAGTAAGTCAGTAAGTAAGTAATTGAGTAAGTAAGTACAGTGGAACCTCAAATATCGAACTTTCTTCGGTCCAGAAGTCTGTTCGAGTGCCTTTACCGAATGAATTTATTCCCATCAGGAATAATGTAAATTAGATTAGTCCATTTCAGACCCTTAAAAATACACTTATAAAAGCACTTACAAAAATACACTTACATAATTGGTTGTGTTGGGAGCAGTTCGATTTTTGAGGTTCCACTAAGCATAAGTATAATTATCATACCCAAGGATCGACACCATGCCTAACCCTTCTAGGGTAGGGAAGGTGCCTGAGCCCGAGCCTTTAGCTCATAAGACTGTCATTCCCATTTGCCCCCTTGGGGCGGGGATGGCAGACCAGAGAGGCCTAGCTTTTGGCTAGGCCTGGGGACAGTTGGTCCCAAAGATGAGGAGGTACTTGTGCCTCCTCCCATGGGAGACTTAGGTCTCAGACACTCCCTAAAGAGGGAGCCAAGGCCGGGCCACCATTTGGAAAAGGCCCGGGCCGGGAGAATACCGGCGAATCTTTAATAATAATAATAATATTCATACCCAGGATACCCAACCATCATCGACACCATGCCTAACCCTTCTAGGGTAGGGTAGGTGCCTGAGCCCGAGCCTTTAGCTCATAAGACTGTCATTCCCATTTGCCCCTTTGTGGCGGGGATGGCAGACCAGAGAGGCCTAGCTTGTGGCTAGGCCTGGGGACAGTTGGTCCCAAAGATGAGGAGGTGCTTGTACCTCCTCCCATGGGAGACTTAGGTCTCAGACACTCCCTAAAGAGGGAGCCAAGGCCGGGCCACCACTTGGACAAGGCCCGGGCCGGGAGAATACCAGCTAATCTTTAACTAACTAACTACCCAACCATCTACGACTCTAAAGATCACTTAGCAGAGCAAATGCTTCTGTTAGAGGACATTTCGCACTAAATAGGT